TGAACAAGAAAAGTGATGTGTAGATAAACCTTTTGCTTTAGCTAGATGTATCTAATCCAATAATACATGTTGGGAAAACCATTAGGTTATTTCTGAATAGCAATCTGATTATCCTTGGTAAGGCCACACTTGGAGTACTGCATCCAGTTTTGGTCACCACGATGTAAAAAATATGTTGAGACTCTAGAAAGAGTACAGAGAAGAGCAACAAAGGTGATTAGGGGACTGGAGGCTAAAACATATAAGGAACGGTTGCTTGAATTGGGTAAGTCTAGTTTAATGAAGGATGAGGGGGGACATGATAGCAATGTTCCAATATCTCAGTGGCTGCCACAAAGAAGAGGGAGTCAAGCTATTCTCCAAGGTGCCTGAAGGCAGGACAAGAAGCAAAGGATGGAAACTAATCAAAGAGAGAAGCAACCTAGAACTAAGGAGAAACTTCCTGACAGTTAGAACAATTAACCAGTGGAACAACCTGCCTCCAGAAGCGGTGAATGCTCCAACACTGGAAGTTTTTAAGAAGAGACTGGACAGCCATTTGTCTGAAATGGTATAGGGTTTCCTGCCTGAGCAGGGGGTTGGACTAGATGACCTCCAAGGTCCCTTCCAACTTTATTATTATTGTTGTTGTTATTATTATTATCCACAGGAAAGGTGGTTTTTGTGAAGGGATGTCTTATTAAGGATAATATTCATCAACTTGTTCTTGTAATAAAGACTTTTAATGTGATAATGTTTACTCTCCTATTTAGAGAAGAACATTCTTGTTTGGAGATCACCATTGTTAACATTTATACTAGCAAACTACTTCCAGTAGTTTGATGGACTGCCTAACGCGTTTGTATCAAAATGCTTTCGCCAATCCTGGGATTCATCAGAAGTGTATTTTTAAGATGATACGCAGGAGATTTTTTTTAATGAAATGTAGTTTGTCACTACACTATTATTAATTTTCTTGTGTAGTGTAAGAACTACAGGATAACTTTGAATCCATTCTAAGTAAAATGTGATGTAACAATCCTGTAAATAAACTTTCTGTGGGAACTAGTTTTTTTTAGCATGTATGTTTCCAGCAATAAATAGATATTTAGGCACTCATGCATTTATTCACAGAAATATAAGGGTTGAAAATTATTTTATAGGGCATGAACATTACATAATATGCCCCAGTTATGTTCTCAGATATAAAGAGATCTTGGATTAATTATTAATTATGTGCCATCAAGTTGGTGTCGACTTTTAATGACTACACATAGATTTTCTGCAGGATGATCTACCATTTGATTGGTCTTCGGGTCCTCCAAAGATACGCTTATTGCCAATATAAACAAGTCTATCCACCTTGCTATTGTTTTTCAGGATTCCAATATTTTCACAGTTAATTGTAAGTTAATTGCTGTATCTGACGTCATTTCATTTTCTTTAATCTTATTCTATTTTTTTCACTGTGCTTTTGGACTTTCATTACTAGAGCTTCCAGTTCCTTTAAATTTTAAGTTGTCAGCATAGTACAAGTTGTATTGATGTTTCTTCCTCTGGTTTTACAGCCATACGAATCTTCATCCAGTCCAGCCTCCTTGTAGTGAATAAAGAGGATAGCCTTGAAAGACAGATGGGAGTATCTGGTATCAAGGCAACAATCAGATAAACAAAACTTGAGCTCAGGGCAAGAAAGTGGCATGCAAAATTGCACCAATACCACACACACTCACTTTCCCAATTCAGGAGGATGAAAAAAGGAAGAAAGGAAGCATATTCAGACTTGAAAGATTATGATACTATAGCTGTTCTAATAAAAATAGGTTTAGGTCTGCATGGTTTCTGTTTTTTAGTCTGATCTGCTTTATAGGGCTAATATTTTCTCAGTGTATACAAAACATATACAGGTGTGTGTGTGTTTATGTATATGTATGTTTATGTCTGTGTAGTTTACTCACTCACCATTAATGAATGAAAATAATATAAAATCTTTGCAGTGGCATACTGTTCAGTTTAATTGTTTTTCAATTACAATGGACATTACCTCCCTTCACAATTAGACAATTAAATCAAATTTCACATTTAATAGCAAACTGAGGTTTGCAAAAATCATGAGGAGAGAAGGGAAGAAGTAGAAGGAAGCAAAGGAGCATGAGCCTAAGCTATATTAATTAGATTCACACACCAGTTTGCTTAAGCATGGTTTGTGAAGCAAGCTACAATTCACTTGGTTCTCACAGATAATGCTAATCAGGGTGTCTAAATTCATAAGGAATAAAGCATGTGTTTAATACCTGGAAGAAAATGAAAAATATTTAAATATCAAAATCAGAATTTAAGATGCATATTCCATATTCAAGTAATATTTTTTCAGATAACAGCGAGAGTGAAGTAGGGAGTGATTGCTCCTTTAAATCAAGTTCCAAATTTGTAGACATGTGGATTTTTACTCCTATATCCAGTGGGTTTTTTTTGTAAAAGAAAAAGGTGCCGAAACTCACACACTTCATACAACCCGCCTTGCCTACCCTACAAGATTCTATCCAAAAAAGGTGCTGGAACTCCATTCCGGGCGTTCTATGAGAAAAAAAGCCCTGCATATATCTATCTACTCTCCTATATAGATTATATTGTCCAAACAGCATAGTATTCCATTGGTGAAAAGGTTTGTTTATTTTAGTAAAAAAAAAAAAGCTGAGAGTGCAGGAGACATGTAAAAAGCAGTGATGATTTTCATGTAGCTTGTATTTCCTGTCTATGGCAAGGAAATTGATTTCTGCTCTTTTTTTTTTTTTTTTTTTACAGTTTAGGAAATACAATTCTTGTTCCAAATATTTTTTTTCCTTAAATGAAGTCATGTTTTTAATTTAGTAGCACTATTCATGATTCCACAGAAGGGTATCTTTAACAGCTCCAAACTGTTGAAAACTTGCCTATTGTAATGAAGGCTTTGTAGATCTCTGCTTATTGTCCCTAAAGAGAAGATAATTTGCTTTTTAAAAACATTATTTAACAGAGAGTGCTCGTTAAGAATGGTGCTGAAATAGCTTCCTTGTGATTTACATAAATGGAAGCAAGTATACCGTAGGAATGAGAGAAACAGATCCACAGGGATGTGTCTGCATTCATAGATAAGATTAAGCTAGGATTTGCACACTACTGTTGAATGTACCCCAATAGCAGGGTGAGGGTGGGGGTGGGGGGTGAGGGAATGACATGCAACGTCTACTCATTGTTGATTCTTGCTGACTGCCTGGACTTGTCCCTGCAGTTTTCTTGGCATGTTTTCCAGAAATGGTTTTCCTTCTTCCTGAGGCTGAGAGAGAACTGGTTCCAAGTCACCCAGCTGACCTCATGCCTGAGGCAGGACTAGAACTCATGGTCTCCCTGTTTCTAGCTTGGTGTCTTAGCCACTGCACTCAACTGGTTCATTATAATCTGGACTGCATATTTTATATGTCTGTTCCATTTACTTTGTGTTCAGGCATATGTTTTCTCTCCCTGAAAACTCAGAATTACCTAATTTCGCAAGATCCAACTGCCAGGGGTCTCTGTATTTCACATGAATCAGAACTGTATGACTTTCTTAAATGAAGCTTCAATATTTCCTTTACTTAATGTAACATTAAAATAGGTTACTAAAAATAGCACTTGAAAGTCAGCAATTTCTGTAATTTTTCTGCACTCTCTTTTAAAGAAATTCTGCTTTGAAATTTTGCTTACCAAAAATGCTACTCTGCATTCTCTCTCCATTAAAACAAGCCCACATCACAGAATCAGCTTTTGATTCAGCCTTATGTGGGAAACAATTTATTTTGATTGAACGTCCTGTACTTCAAACTTTTAATTAAACTAAATATGGTGTGCACTATTATTTCAGTATTGCAAACTGAGAATATTTGGAGGAATGAATAGGTATCTGCTTGCATTAGTCAGCTCTTCAAGAGAATGGGCTTTATTTGTCTAAATTCGAAACTTTTTTTTAGCATCTAGATAGTGCTAATTGTAATGAGAATAAGGACTCTATCTAGCAGCTATGGAACACTTTGAAGAATTCCAACTATGCATCTGGTTGGTATTCACATTTCAGAATGTTCAGTGCTAAAACATGTGAAAGACACTATTGATTACTTAACAAGCTAATAGAATAGAAATAAAAATAGAAATAAATAGAAATAGAGAGCTGGAAGGGACCTTGAAGGTCTTCTAGTCTAGCCCCCTGCTCAAGCAGGAGGACATATACCATCTCAGACAGGTGATTGTCCAGTCTCTTTTTAAAAACTTCCAGCGATGGAGCGCCCACGATTTCTGGGGGTAAGCTGTTTCACTGGTTGATTGTCCTCGCTGTCAGGAAGTTTCTCCTTAATTCCAGGTTGCTTCTCTCTTTGATCAGTTTCCAACCATTGTTTCTCGTCCTTCCCTCTGGTGCTCTGGTGAACAACCTGACCCCCTCTTCTTTGCGGCAGCCCCTCAGATACTGGAATACCGCTATCATGTCTCCCCTATTTCTTCTTTTCTTTAGACTGGCCAAACCCTTGATAAGGACCTTTCAAGATAGGCCTATCTCTCATGAGTAATAAATATTTAATATTCCAGGTTCCTATCTTAATCTGAAATGCTTCTTTTTTGAAGCTACTCAGCTTTCAATTTTAAAAACAATTACTTGCAAAATATAAACAATTTTTAAATTCTAATTGCATTTAAAGAGAATTAACAGAAAAACAGAATAACAGAGTTGGAAGGAATCTTGGAAGTCTTCTAGTCCAACCTCCGAAACAAGCAGGAGACTCTATACGATACCGGACAAATAACTGTCCAATCTCTTCTTTAAAAACTTCAGTGATAGAGCACCCACAGCTTCTGAAGGCAAGCTGTTCCATTGGTTAATTGTTTTCACTGTCAGGAAATTTCTTCTTAGTTCTAAGTTGGTTCTCTCCTTGATTAATTTCCATCTATTGCTTCTTGTCCTACTTTCAGGTGCTTTGGAGAATAGCTTGATTCCCTCTTCTATGCGGCAACCTCTCAAATATTGGAAAGTCTGTCAAGATTTTTCTGGATCTTGAGCCTATCTTCTGGAGTATTGACTATTCCTGCCAGCTTGGTGTCATCTGCAAAATTGGCAATGTCATTCTTTTTTCCTCTTATATTAATCCCTATGCATTCAAGCAGGCTTTCATCCTTGGTTTTATGCATTTGTGTAGAGGTGTACTGATTTTTTTTTTTACATATAATGCACCTCCACTTTCTCTGTTGTTAGGTCTGTTTCAATTTATATCCCTCCAGCAGTACATTCCAGTTGTGAGTTTCATTCCACCATTTAGCAATTACATGCATTCTATGACTCAGGTTTGTAGATAATTTGCATACTATATGGTTTCTAAGGTGTTATGCATTTCCCCATAGCAGTGGATCAATTATTTTGCAGATTTGCCAAATTTCTATTATTCTCTTCTGCTTTTGCTTGCTGGAAATGTAATAAGAAAAGCGATAGTTATGATTAAAAACAAGATGGCTTATTTATTCAATGTATTTGATTTATTTATATTTCACGTTCCATTATGGAATCTAAAACAATTAAGAATACCCAGAGATGATGCAAAAACAAAATCACTGAACAATTTAAAAATAAAGTATGTCCATTGAAACATTGGATAAAACCTGTAGGTATGAAATTCCCAGAAACCTCTTGGATTAGTAATGTAGAGATAAAGCAACGAAGAATTAAAGTAATCCTTGTTTTTAAACATGAACTTCTGATTTACTTTCTATTTTTCACTTCCCTGTTTATATATTTGTATGTTTGACAAGAAATGACTACATTCATTACTTCTTGATTTTTGAGGGGAAAGTTTCCAGTTCTAGAATTTAATTCTTTCAACTCTCCTGTCAAAAGAAGTACTCTGTCTGGAATGGTAAAAATAGTAAAGATTCCTTAGTTTCTTAAATATGACACAGGATGTTGCCTTGAAGAATCAATAGGAAAGAAACTCTTAGAAAAACATTTGCAAAAAGAGATGAAGAAGGTGATCACAGTTTGTGCAGCCCTGCTTAGTGTCAATTTGGAGGGATTTTGAAGCAATGAGTACCTTCAGTACCTCTTGATCCTGTTTAGAATCCCCATTAATTAGCAGTAATTATGTTATTGCTTAACACTTCTCTGAAACATCTGGAGTCTTTCTTGTAGTTTCTTGAAATTAAGCCTCCTACTAATTGTGGTTGGGAGGGATACCATCATAACTTACATTGTAACCTTCTTGTTCTGTGCTGTATGTGGCTACTCTTATCTAAAGCTCTAGTCTAGATGATGATACCAGAATAGAAATGTTGCCTGCTCTACTTATTAATTCCGTGTTGTTGTTGTTATTTTTAAAAAAGAACAAATCTTTCATAGTACAGGGAAAAACAGAACTGAACTCAGAACTAAACTCCAAATTTTAGGAACAGAACATTCAAAATGTCTGTTTCAGGTTCAAAAAGTTTGACACCCCCCCCCCTAGGAAGGAGAGCTTCCTCATTTTTCATACGCCTCTTTGAGAAAGAAGATTTGTGCCACTAAAAAAGAGAACATAGATCAGTGCATTCTAATTTATATTGTAGCATCCACATCATTCAGTTAATTTGTAACTCACCTGAGATCACCTGAAATATCCACCCATCGATTCCAACTTCCAAATCCTGTTCCAGCACCAAATTTCATAAATATCCCTTTCAGCCTCATATCATTGCGCCCATACATTAAAAACAAGTACCGTAGGATGAATGGGTTACCTTTAAGTGTTCAGAAATTCAGAAACTCAGAAGACTTCTTTGTTAACAGCTAGCAGCAACTCTCTCCAGGAGACCTGTTATAGGAAGGCACTTAGAAAGAATTGTGTCATATGCATATAACATACGTGGGGATATATTAATTCTAAAATTAATAATAATTCAATCCTGGAATTTGTATCCCCATTCCATTCATCTCAATAAATCTTACTGAACAAAGCTTTGAGACTTGTGCTTGGAAAAGAATCAGCTTTCAATTTTAGGTAGCAGCCAAAAAAGCACACAGAAGGCAGTTGCAGTTGAGATAGCTTCCCATTGTACCTCTTTAGTTGAACTGTTGTTGCTTCTGCTTGGATCCCATTTGACTATGTTCCCGAAAGCCCCTTCATCCATTTTTATAAATCCTGAGGTCCAAATTGCTGGTTGAATGTTGCCACCCCTTAACCACTGCATACAGATGTTCTTGGAGAAAAAATTGACACTGAAGCAAGGAACAGTTGTTAAATATAGTGAGCTGGCGGTACAGGTAGGAAATTGGTGATCAAGTAGGGAAAGCATAATTGTGGACCACCAAGCCAAATAAAGCCCCTGTTTTGAACTCAAGACAATGCTAAGCCTCTTTCTATTTGTTTTCAAAAAGAATTACCAGGACATTTAGGTTTACATACTGTAGTCCTGTGCTAGAGTGGGTTTTTTTTGGTTAAGTGTGATTTCATACCACTTTAGAAAATTCTTTGGGTTTTATAAATGACTTACATTCTTGTCCAAAGAATGTTTTGGAAATAAGCAGGTTAATGGGAAAGAACATTTCAGGCATTCATGAAAGCAAAAAATAGATGCCTCAAGGTTACAGGGATCTTCTTTTCTGTCAAGTTATACAATGGCCTGAATAGTGTTCTGTCTTTCTATATATTTCAACTACTTTTTATTGTTGAGGCTTTACTTGTAAATTTGGACTATCTGTTTCTCATTTTTGCATACTGTAAACAAACCCACAAATTTAATATGAATACAGGTACTTGCAACAGTTCATTTAGTGACCGTTCAGAGTTACAAGGGCACTGAAAAAAGTGATAACTGTTTTATGCCCTTTTTCCCCACTTACGATCTTTGCAGCATCCCCATGGTCACATGATCAAAATTCAGATGGTTGGCAACTGACTCACATTTATGACGGTTGCAGTGTCCCAGAGTCATGTGATCAGCTTTTGCAACCTTCTGACAAGCAAAGTCAATGGGGAGTCCAGATTCACTTAATAACCATGTTACTATCTTAAGAAATGCAATGATTCACTTAACAACTGTGGAAAGAAAAGCCGTAAAATGGGACAAATTCACTTAACAAATGTTCCATTTAGCAACATAAATTTTGGGCTCAATCGAGGACTACCTGCATATGAAAGTTATGAGATTGGTGTTTATAGTTTTTTTCCTCTTTTACATTTGAAATATTTTTATATGCAATAAAAAATAGATAAATTGCAGTATATGGTTTAAATTTACGTGCTCGTTTCAGTGTGGAGTAGCCTAATGATTTTTTAAGTTAGTTAGCACGCTGTTTACATTACCTGATCGTACATTGTACATTGCCTGATTTAACAATCGTGTATTATACAGTGTTTAGGGGAAAATGCATGAAATTGGTTTTGGGATCTTCTCTGATTCTTCTCTCTTTTACCCTATAGATGGTATTCACAGTGTTACAGCATTTTGCACCTTAAGGGTTACAATCATCACTGATGACATGCTTACGAATAGCATCACAGTACGACTGGAAAACATGTCCCAAGAGAAGTTTCTCTCCCCTCTGCTGGCTCTCTTTGTGGAAGGTGTGGCTACTGTACTGTCAACAACCAAGGAGGGCATTTTTGTCTTCAACATTCAAAATGACACAGATGTTAGCTCCAATATTCTGAATGTGACGTTTTCTGCCCTACTTCCCGGTGGCATTCGAAACAAATTCTTCCCCTCTGAAGACCTTCAGGAGCAGATCTACCTCAACCGGACTCTGCTCACGCTGATATCTACTCAACGAGTATTGCCTTTTGATGATAACATTTGTCTGCGGGAACCTTGTGAAAACTACATGAAATGTGTATCTGTACTGAAATTTGACAGCTCGGCACCATTTATTAGCTCAAATACTGTACTTTTCCGACCCATACACCCTATCAATGGTCTGAGGTGTCGCTGTCCCCCTGGGTTTACTGGTGACTATTGTGAAACAGAGATTGACCTCTGCTATTCTAATCCATGTGGAAACAATGGCCTTTGTCGAAGTCGAGAAGGAGGCTATACTTGTGAATGTTATGAAGACTACACTGGTAAGTTGTTTCTTGGTGCCTTAAATATTGAGGAATTTAGGAAAGGGCACTCTTTTGCTTTCTCAATTAATCATAAGGTTATAAGTAACCATTAGACAAATTTGAACTTTTTTTTATATAAATACAATTATAGGAAAGGCCATAGTCAGAAAATATAACTTTCATAGAACGCATGTTGCTTCCATCTGATCACTCCCAGCCCCAAGTATCTATAAGGTAAAGAACTACTCCTCTTGAACTCCTCCCACCCACTTATCTCTCTTCCCTACCTTTGAGCTTTTGGATGACTGCATAGCAGCACCCCTCACAGTTGCAAACTGAGATCTACCTGTACTTTTCTACTGAATGGTCTCTCTGAACAAAAAAATAGATTGACATTTTCTGCTATTGAGTGTAGTCTTAAGTCATTGTTGGTATTAATGTTGAAGGGGCAGGAACATCATCTGCTGGATCCAACTTACATTATTTCCTTGGACAAAGCTGATTAAGGCATGTTACCTACAACAGTCAAGGAAACAGCACAGATTGTGCACCTCCCCTTAACTGCTATCGTGGAGGGAACTGTAAATATGTGGCTTTGCCAGTCCATAATTGCCATTTCAGTCTTTCATTTGTCTTGTTGTCTCTCTTTGGGATTTCTATACTTGCTAACATCTGCCTTTGTAGGTGCTTTATCTTTACTGAGAGATCGAGAGCTTGTTTTTAAATATGAGTTATTTGAAGCTGGAAAAGATAACATGATATTTGAAGGATAGTGCCAAAACAGTAAATAGGGCACATTGTGTAATAAAAAGGCTGTGGCCTTGGAAATTGCTTTTCAGATGATCCCTGCAGATAGAAAAATCTGGCCATGGACCATGCGAACTTACATGTGGATGTGGGATGAGTGATTCACCAAGGAAGCACAATCTTTGGAAACAGACCAATCTGATGGGCATCACTCCAGAAATAGTTCACTGTGATTCAATACTTAAATCAGGATTAAGAATCTGAAAAACAGAATTCCATAGTCTAGGAAGAGAAAAACACAAAGTGCTGTCATTTGTTTCAGGAACATTATGCCTTAATAAGCATCTAACATATATCACATTTTTGTATGAACTAGTACATTGATTTTGAGCTGCATTCCTATAAAATCTAGAGTTTTAAATAGTGACTACTACTTAGCTGGTTTGGGGAAGAATGTGATGAAATTTGCAGTGATAAAGGGCAATTTTGCAGAAATAGCATATAGACTGGGAAAAAAAAGTGCAAAAGAAAGGGTTGACCATAAGGAATAATAACATGCTTCCCAAAAATGTGGTGGCGTTGATTATGGGTTTTGGGACAGAAATAAAGAGAGATTTACCTGCTGATCTTTTCCATTTGCTCCTGTTGCCATGACATTGTGAGAATTAATTCTTAAAAATTCTATATTAGAGTTGCGCCTAAAGAATATAATATATTACCCATGTGGATAAATAAAATAGCAATACAGGTAGTCCTTGACTTACAACAGTTTATTTAGTGACCGTTTGAAGTTACAACAGCCCTGAAAAAAAGTGATTTATGACCATTTTTCACACTTACGAATGTTGCAACATCCTCATGGTCACGTGATCAACATTCGGAAGCTTGGCAACAGACTCATATTAATAACAGTTGCAGTGTCCCGGGGTCATGTGATCCCCTTTTGCAACTTTCTGACAAATAAAGTCAATGGGGAAGGCAGACTTATAACAACCATGTTACTAACTAACAACTACTGTGATTCATGTAAAAACTATGGCAAGAAAGGTCGTAAAGTGGGGCAAAACTCACTTAACAAATGTTTCACTTAGCAGCAGAAAGTTTGGGCCCAATTGTGGTGGTAAATCAAAGACTACCTATCCGCAATCATCAGCTTAATCTGAGATTTGGCCAAATCTAGTATATTCCTGTAACATTTATATATGTTCTGCAAAGGCCAAACACTGGGAATGTAAGAAATATGTAATGATATTACATACCAGGTCCTTCCTATTCTTTTTTTGTTTATGTCGCTATAGACTTAAAAGATTGAGTTATCCGTGCTGAAATGGTAATACACAAAAGAATGCAGCATTTTTGGAAGGTCTAAAATTTCACTTTATCCTTTTAAGAAACGTACTTCACAGATAAACAAAAAGTAAAAATATTTTTAAAATAGCATAAAAATGTCCGGCTCTTTGCTATGATATATGCCGATTATAAAGAAAATATACTTTAATCCCTGAACATCTTGATTTCCTCTAGAACACAAGTACGTCCCAATAAAAAGGCTTCTTTTCTCCCTTGTTTCCATTTTCGCTAATGCTCTGAAGCTTTCCATTGTTGGATGTAATTTAGACATGATGAAAGTTTTTCAGTCTTCAGGATTCTTCTGTTTCAAGGAGTAAGGTACACAGAGCTTTTACAAGCTATTTCTGAAATGGAAATACCCACTAATTATAATTATCTGGAGCAACTGCACTTCCTGTGATGCAAGGAGGTGAGTGATAAGGACACATAATATTTGTAGGTTTAAAACAGATCTGGAATAATATTTTTTTTCAGGTCACCAGGCACCATCTATCTACATACTAAGAGAAAACAAAGGAAAATTTCCAGAAGGATTTTTTTTCTGTCTCTTTTAAGTAGAAAGCAAGGCCTAAATTTTTTTAGTTTTGGCTCAATGTGTTCCATGAAAATACTGCATATGCTTTGCTCTAGTATACCCATGAAACATTTGAAATCATGATCACTGGCTGAAATTTTTCTGATTTCAATTTGGAATTGGAAACCTGACACATTAAAACATTTTTCTCGGTCAAAGATAGCACACATTCTTTGAAACATGTGCTGGGGGCAATATGTTAAAAAAAAAAGTACACTTAGAGCTGAGACAAAAAACCTACTTTATTTAATTCTCCTAACAATTTCTTTGTTTAAAAGATTTGTATGACACCCATCTTAAAACACAACTCTATTGGCTCGCAGCAACAATAAAATCCAAACTATAAAACACATAAAAACGTAAATCTGTAAAACACAATCGAAATGCCTCAGTCGTCCCCTTACAATGTCCCAACAATAAGGTGACCAACTTTTTTACAATGAAAAGGAGGACACAAATAGATTGAAGAAAAAATATCGTAAATAAAAGAAACATTTTATTCATTGCAACAATAATACAGAAAACTTGCATGAGCAAAGTTTGCCAGCCAGGTGTTTTGGTGCGCTCAGCAGCAATTCCTATTGGCTTTTGAAAGCCAATAGGGGGAGTAGCACAGCTCATGCAAAAGTTCAAAAAAAAACCCATCAAAAAAAAGGTGCTAGAAGGCTGTTCTGAGCGTTCTATGAGAAAAAAAAGCCCTGCAGATTAGTCTTCAAATATCGAAAAGGAGGACATGTAGGAGGACACTTTTCAAGGGAGGACAGAACTTACAAAAGGAGGACTGTCCTCCCTAAAGGAGGACGGTTGGTCACCTTACAACAAGCAACCCAAAACATCCTCCCTCTACTACCTCAGTGCCTTGGTAAAAAGCCAGATCTTGATGGCCTTTTGCGAGGCAAAAGGACAGGGCCTGCTGGATCACTGGGGGAAAGATATTTCATAAATTGTGGCAGTCACAGATAAGACATGCTTCCAAGGTCTTCCTAAAGGGCAAAGTTTCGGGGAAGGGACTGGAAATGTGCCTACCCTATCCAAACTGTAGGATGGGAAGATACTCTCAAGGAAGAGGTGGTCCCACAAATAATGATCCCATGCCATGTAGGTCTTTAAAGGCGATAATCAGCACATTGAATTGCACTTGGAAGGAAACTGGAAGTTTGCGTAAGAGAGGTGTAACATGGGTAAACCTACAAGTTCCCAGATTGTGCAGGCTGCTAGATTCTGGACCAGTTGTAGTTGCTACAAAGGAAGCCCTATGTTAAGTGCCTAGCAGTAATCTGGTAGGAAGAAACTATGGCATGAATAACCATAAGTAAGGCGTCCTGGTATAAGAAATGGTGTGATTGGCATCCAAAATGAATCTGTGCAAAGACATCACTCCCTGCCCCCAAGCCATGACTGTCACCTACTCATTGAGGATTTAAATTTGATTTAAATTAATTAAATGGACTTAATATGCATATGTGTTTAATATTTCTTTCGTCAGATTAAAAATTACTTGATAATAGTATTTGAAGGCTTCTGGACCATACTTGCAATTTTTAGAAGCTGAACTTTTGAGCTAAAGTGTGTGCCTGATCCTTGAAAAATGTGAAAAGTTCATCCACTATTTCTCTTCTCTCCCCACCCCCCCTTTTACAGGTAGTTCTCAACTTATGAGCCCAACATTTCCATTGCTAAGTTGTTAAGTGAGTTTTGCCCCATTTTACAATCTTTCTTTCCACAGTTGTTAAGTGAATCATTGCAGTTGTTAAGGTAGTAATGGTTACTTGTTGACGTTGCTTGATAGAAGGTTGCAAAAGGTCATCACATGGTGCTGGGATACTGCAGCCATCATAAATCTGAGTCAGTTATCAAGTTTCTGAATTTTGATCAGATGACTTTGGGAATGCTGCAACAGTCTTAAGTCTGAAAAATGGTCATAAGTCACTTTTCCCAGTGCTGTTGTAGTCACTAAATGAACTGTTGTAAGTCAAGGACTACCTGTATTTTTTACCATATTCTTTGTTAAGTAAAGCAAATGGGTTGAGGAAAGAGAGGTCAAAAAATTGTGGAACATGTGTATTTCAATTACTCATTGCAAGCATAGCATTTTTAGTATTGTTGCAATTGTTTTCATGGTGGAAAGACCTGTCAACATTTGGAAGGAAGAAAAAAAGTTATTGATTAATTTGATTGCATAATAATAACATGTGACATACAATATAATGCATGCCTTGCCTGAAGAAGTGCTTTCATAATAATAATAATAATAATAATAATAATAATTGCCTTCATTTTGGCTGCTATAGCCTTTCGTTTGGCTTCCATTTGGGCTGCTTCGGCTTGTAGCTTGGCCTCTATTTCAGCTTCCTCAAGTTCTATGGCTGCCAACTCCTTCCTTCTCTGCCTCTCCTCTTGTGCCATGCGAAAGACAGCTTCAGCATCTTTAGCATCTATGATCATTTGTTCGATTTGTGAGATTCGGGAGGTTTGGCTATGACGGGAAGATGCCTTCGAAAGGTGGGAGGCGCCTGTGATATGCGGTTCTTGGGACATGCTGGAATGTGTCTTGGATATGTGGCGGAAAGATGAGGCTGTTCCAGACACGTGGGATGGAGCCGCATGCGGCCGTTGGGATGGTGTATGTGACTAGCGGGAGAATTTGGACTCGGCTCTGTCAACCAGTCTGCTTTTCTGGCGAGGCTTGGGCTGTGGGGAACCCTGTGAGCTCTCTAGAAACTTCTTGCGTTCCTTGTTTAGTGCCTTGAGGTTGTGCGTCTTGCTATCGATTCTTGAGTCTCTTAATTGTTCTTGAATGTCCTTGAGTTGCCGTTCAGAGTCCATCCATTGCACGTAGGCGTCTTCCTTATCTCCTTCCACTGCGTGTGCCCGTTCCGGGGAGAGTTCCTCCTTCTGTTCATGGTAGAGTTTGTATAATCTCTCCCAGCTTCGTTCATGGCGTCTGTGGATGATGTGCCATTTCTCCATCAGATGTGAATGCATGGCGTCTGTAGGCTGGTTGATGTATCTCAACTAGGCTGATAGGTTGAACCCCTTCTGCTAGACCAGTAGGATGCTCAGCTATGGCTAGGATAGGTTCAGTGTCCTTCTCAGCTATTTTGGCAGCCTTATTAGGAACTGCTTCCATCCTGCGACGATATCTGTAATACCATCAAATATCCACATCTGCCTATCCCAGGTCCTGGGTAAGGACTCGATAGGTAGACAAAATGCCAAATCCAGTCTGAACATCTGGCTGACTGTGCGATGATCGATAATAATAATAATAATGACCTTGGAGGTCATCTAGTCCAACCCCCTGCTCAGGCAGGAAACCCTATATCATTTCGGACAAATGGCTGTCCAGTCTCTTCTT